ATGTCCATTTAAGCCCTTAGATCATCAAAACCACACCAACATGAGTTTACGGCCGTAAACTCATGTGTGAGTGTGTTTTATGGTTGTAAACTCATTTAAATGTTTACTTATGGAGAGTAAACTTAATTCCCAAGTCCCTAGTGCCATTACAAGTCCGAAGATGTCACCCGGGTCACTCCAAACGCTCGTTTTGAGATGTTTAACCTCATTGGAGTGTAATGTTCCATATGATTAGTGAATGTATCTCTAATTGTATATATATGGACATTATATCATTTTACATAGGGACATCGCGAGTAATCAAACCCCGAACCAACGTATAGCATTCAAAACCGACACGTTTCCGAGTCCGGTTAGTTCATACCCCTACCCTTTTTCAATGGTTTTTCAATGTTTTCAGGGGGGGAATACAAGCAAAAGTACAAGTATATCTTGTACTCAATCACATGATTTCAATTAAATGGTTTCATAATTGTACACTTTAAGAATTGAAAACCTTTTAAACAAACCGTTTTAACTTGCAGAGTTGTTTGTTTTAACCCGATTTTCAATTCTTATTATACACTGTTATATTGTGTACTTGGTAATTGATTGTTCACATTTAAACTGATAGAATACATAAACCATTGTAATGTCTGTAATAAAACACTAAGGTTCAAGTGTAAAAGACAGACTCCATTAGAAAACATGAAACATCTATATGTCCTTAACAATACACCTATGCTCGAGTGTGATAGATAAATACCATCATAACACACAAATCACTGTAACGTCCTTAATAATACACCTAGGATTGAGTGTAAAGGACCATAATCATTAAATAACACCTAGGCTCGAGTGTAATGTCCTTAATAAAACACCTAGGCTCGAGTGTTAAGGACAGGTACGTAGAATATAGTCAGTTGTAAATACTACTTTCCTAGTCGAAAAGTAAAGAGTAATCTTAATGATTGGAGACACGTCCTTGTAACACTTCCATGGCACGAGATAGTGGAGGACTAACCCTGTAACCAGAATCTCCGTTCGTAGGAGAGCGTGGCTTGAGTGTATAGATCTATACGGGACTGACAATCCCACACCTGGCTGCTAGCTACAGCCGAACCGAATGGTTCAAGGGTGACAAAAGTCATAAATAGGATACTGACCATGGTCCGAGTCATATCCAGTCTAAGTATGGTTAAGGACTCGCAATCTAGATTATTAACGTTTCAGATTCATTTACTAGCTTTATGTACGTAGTAAAGCTAATGTACGTTTAGGGATTGCAGATACACACACAGTCAGGAAAACATAGGGTTTTCCTGGGAAGAACACTGAACATAACCATAACTATTAAAGACACACACACAGAGAGTCAGGGAAACATGGGGTTTTCCTGGGGAGAACACTGAACATAAACAAAACCGGTAAAGATATACACACAGTTAGGGAAACATGGGGTTTTCCTGGGAAGGACACCGAACATAGTCAGAAACTAGTAACAGTTCACACACACACAGTCAGGAGAACATGGGGTTCTTCCTGAGTAACACTAGTACGAAATTAGAGAAGTGTAATAAGTTAAACAATTGAATTACATTTCACAAGAACAATCATGTTTTAATTAAACATCGTTTACTTTACTTTCGGATTTGGAAACTAACTTTACATAAGAAAATATGGGATTTTCTTGGATAACTACTTTTCAGGAAAACAAAGGAACTCGTACATTTTCAGAAAAACTAACCGCTTATGAACTCACCAGCTTTATGCTGATTTTCAAACCGCTTGTATTCTCAGGTCCGAGTTAGACAGGTACCCGAAGATCCTTTTGTGTGAAGACGGAGTTCTCATAAGACTCATTTTGTATTGTTCATATATACTATGTATCACTTGTATAACTTATGCTTTTGAAACAAATGTAAATCTTTCATATATGTAATGTAATGGTTAATTTACTTTACTTACTATGTACATTGGATTTGATACTCTACGTGGAGTCAACCCCGAAAATGTTTCCGCCTTCGGTTTTCGGGGTGTGACAACATTCCACTTCAATATGTTTTTTTTCCAGGTAATTCTAACAAAGCAATTTCAATTGATTGTGTTGAGAGTACTTATTGATCGCAACATCACAAAGTTGTAAAAGCCTATTGATTTTGGCGAAGGGTAAAACGGTAAAAGCAGTTTGTTTAAAATTACAGACATGGCATTGACTTGAGACATGAAGAAGAAATGGTTTTTTCTACTAGACAGCTTTTTACACGTAGAAATGCTCTTCAGAAAAGCAGACATAACACGGACAAAGACAAAGGTTCTATTACTTTTTTGTTGTTATGATTAAGTTTTGAGTATATTACATGTTTGGTCCCTGAGTAACACTAATTTATTATCAGTTATGGTCACTGAAAGTCTTCTTTTACATTTTTGGTTCTTGTTTGAGGGTTTGCAACAAATGTGGTCCCTACTGCTAGTAAAATAACTATGTTTCGGGGAAAATTTGCCAAAGTTAGCTATTACTTGGGACTAAATTAGTCATTTTACTTAACAAAAAGATCAAAATTATTACAATAATCTCATCAAAGGACCAATCTTGCAAAATAACTTTTTGGAACCAAAATTGCATAAGTCAGCTATACACAGGGACCACTAATTCAGTCTAATATTATAAAGAGTTTAGAGTAGTTTATACATTTGGTCCTTGAGCTTAGTTGATTTTTGTTGTTTTAGTCCCAAAATTTTCTCTTGCACGTTCATTTTTTATTTTTTATTTTTAAATTTTGTAATTTTTTTGGTCCTTAGATTGTTAAAGCTGTTAGTTTATTCAAACTGACCATTTTGCCCCTGGACCAAAATTGAGAAAGCAATATAAATTGTATTAAGCGTTATTTAAAAATTTGTGGAAAGTTACCAATTTGGTCCTTGTAGGTATGCTAATTTTGTTTATATATATATATTTAATCAAAGGGCAAAATGGTCATTTTGAAAAAAATCAATATCTCAGAGTTCGATTTAACAACTCATGGACCAAAGTTGTTAGCAAACATCATAATAAAGACCAAAATTGCAAAAAAAACCAACTAAACTTTTCGGATAAAAAATATAATTTACATCAGAAATGTTATGATTATTATTGTTGTTATTTTTTTAGAAACAAGCCAGGAGTTGTGGATGATTGCTCGGAATCTGAAAAAGATGTATTTATTTCATAGTATGCCAAATGCAGATGTTCATGAATTTGACCAGTTGTTCTTAAAAAGTACTTTCGGATGGGAGTTCGAGACAAGTTTTCCTAAGGTTAGCGTTCTTTTTATAACTTTATAATACTTTTTTTTGCATGTACTTTACTTTTTGTTCGGGGATATTATTGTAAATAGGTACTTGGATATGTGATAGAGTCTCTAGCTGGGATGATTCTTGTGGATTATGGATATGATAAGAAGTAGAAACAAGAAGGTGTTCCTTAATAGTAGTGATTGAAGGTGATTTTGGTTCTTGAAACGAGACTCAAGATATCATATTTTGGCATGGCTAGAAGCTTTGGAGGAAACGAGACTCAAGCAAAAGTAAACACATAGAGAGTTGTTGGCACATAGTAAGCTAGATGATGCAATTGTATATGAATGAGTTTATTTTTTATAACATTTACTCTTTTATAACATTTACTCACTTGTGGAATAATTATTTATATTTGACATATTAGTGAAATGAATTATCTTTGTTATTTATGGTATTTTATTTTGTACTATGAGATTTTTAATGTATTATTTAATTTGAAAATTAGTAAATCTATAAATAATTTTTTTTTAAAACATTTAAAATTATGATACGCAAAAATGTGTGTCATCTTCATTTATGACATGGCCTTTTTGACGGGGGCTTTCTTGATACGAATTGCGTGTCATTAACATGCGCGTCGTAAGGTTACGACACGCGGATGCGTGTCGTCTTCCTTTATGATAGGGCCTTCCTTGATACGCATTGTGTGTCGTAAACACACGTCGTAATTGCGCGTCGTAAATGCGCATCATCTCTCTTTATGACAGGGCCTTCCTTGACGCAAATTTGCGCGTCGTCTGAGCCTTTTACGACGCGCAATGAGCGGCGTAAAAGGCTGTTGTTCTAGTAGTGTCACTTACTTGAGCTCTCCTGCCTTTGGAACGGGAGGTACTTGAAAATGTTTAAATCATAAAAGCCACTACAAGAAAAAGACCCTTTTACGACGCGCAAACCACGACACTCATTGATTTATATTACGCAAAAGTGAGTGACATTAAAAAAGTGTAATCTCTTCAAAAAAATTAAGGATTTATGTCATGGATTATTGCGTGCCCTTAGATTACTGTCTCAAGTAAAAAAAATAAAAACACGGAGGGCACTTTATCTAAAATTGTGCGTCCTTTGTGAATGTCGCTTTATGTTTTACTCAAAACGCGCGTTCTTGAAAGGGGGAAATGAAATCCCAAAAAATTAAAACCCCACCTATTCCATGTGAAAAATTAAAACCCGCTCCTCTTCCAATTAGCAAGAAAGAAGCCTAGCGTCTTCGTCTTCCTCTCTCTTTCCCTTTAACCTAAAACCCAACTTGTGATTTCATAGAGATTGTTATTACTATTTAAGAAGCAAAGAAGAAGACAAGCAAGGATAGTACTATTAAATTCCACAAAATCGCAGGGACTAGGGCTTTTTTTTCAAGAACGGAAACACTTGGTGCTCTCTGGCCTATGCAACAATCGATCGACATCTCGCCTCACCTCGCCGACAACATCTTTGCTCACTTCTCCTCCAACGACCTTAGGGGTATTTTCCTCCGGCGACCTCGGGCTCATGTGACCTCGTTGGAGACTGCTCAAATTTCCACACCCTAGCCTGACTAAGATATGGTTTGGTTATTCATTCTTCCTAATGTTTTCGTTCTTCTATTTCTTTAATTTCTCCTCTATTCATAGCTTTGATTTTGATTTTGGATCTTCTCATCTTCTCCTGTGTTAAACCCTAACTGAAAAACTATGTAGGTTTCAATGGCGATTTCCTCCTCATTCCACAATCCTCACTTCTACTCTCTAAGCATCTCAGGTATGCTTTGTTCCTTCTCCCTTATTTTAATTTTACTTGTTTGATTTCTTGGGTGCGATATCCTTCCCCCTACTTTTCTGATTCTCGATCCCATTCTGATACACTGTTAGCAGTCGCACATAGCACCTCAAACACATACTCACATTTAATATTTTGAGCATAAATTCGAGAATATGTTATGGTACGGTGAATTTTTTGTATATTTGTCTTATCCAGGGTATGAATTTTTTGTATTATGCTAAATTACATCTATCATGCTGTTACTTTTTGAGGCTTTATGTTTCTTTTATCACAGTGATTGTTAAAGCAAGTAGTGGCCCAAGGTATGTGGTCGGTTTCATAACTAATTCAATTTTGATGAGTAAACAGGTTAGATTTCATATGGTTGTTTGTTCAGATTGGTATTCATCCTGATTTTCCTTCAATTATGCAACAACTATGCTGGAATGTGCTATGTTCCATACTCGGATTGTGAATTTATCGAAAAATTGAATAATTAATCTGGAAAAATACCATCTTTGGATGATTTGTTTGTCATCTGTAGATAAGGAATACCATCTTTGGGTAATTAGTTTATCCAGTCTATATGATTAAATTAATGGACATATAATTCTCTATTGATAGAACAAAAAACATTGCTTTGTAGTGAAGATAAGGAATACCTGCTTTGGGAAATGAGTTTATCCATACTCGGATTATGAATTCAGCCCACCATCAGCAGTGGATTGCTGAGTTTTATGTGACCATAATGCCCTTTCGGTTTGTAGTGAAGATCCAAGCATGTAATTAATAACACCTCTAATTAATTAATTAATTAATTAATCCTCTAAAACTAACTATGGTTAAATTAAACTGGTGGTAGGTGCCGGTGTACATAGGGGCACAGATGGTCAAATATGTTTTAATTATTAATCTAATATCTTATGATACTTATCAATAACAAAAAAATAATGTAAAATCTTGTGAATACAATTCAAGGGTATAATGGTCTAGATAGAGATCATTTTTATTAAAGATATTTATTTATTAATCATCAGAGAAGAAGGAATTAATATGAAAGAATCACTTACTGCAAAAAAATCTTCAAATGTAAAATCAGCACAGCCTAAGCCCTGATTTTTATTTCACCACAGGTTGGCGAGCTGGCGGGAATAGCTGTGGGAGCAACTGTCATGCTTAATATTCTTATAGCTGTGTACGTATAAAGTGAACCTTCTTAATATTATGATAATTGGGTATGTTGATAGAAGTTTAAAAAAAAGGGTACCCTCTTTGTTCACATTTTCCCTTTGTTGAAATGATATAGGCCACTGATAGGAGCATCAATGAATCCAGCAAGAACCTTGGGACCAGCAATAGTTGTGGTCAAAATAGTTCAGCAAGAACCTCTGTTGAAATGATATAGGCCACTAATTATTTAAAACTATCACTGGCTCCTCATTATGGTCAAAATAGTTGATCTGTTAAAAACTGTGACTATGAGCAATTCACCACTTCTAAATGGGTGCTTTGTAGTTTTCCTTTCTATAATTCAGGAAATAGGATCATATTTTACTCTTGCAGCAATAGTTATGGTCTGTGAGCATTCTTCCAGATTGTAAGAACGTAATTTTCAACACATCAAAGGTAAAATTATATCTATGTTTTCTTGTGTAGTTAACTTCACAGGAGCTGAAACATGATCTAATTTTTTTTTATATCTATTGGTTATATTGAATATGGATAAAAGGTTGTGGCTCAGAAAAGTGTTGGTGATGCTTCTACATTTGTTGAGAGTGAATTTTCACTGTCAAGTTCAAGTTGGAGTTGGTATGTAGAAAAAGTGGGTGTTTAGAGTAAGGACTTCTTTTTCCTTGTTGGACTGTAATAGTAGACCGATATGATTCGTTTTATAAAACCCTTAGACAGCTCACAGTTGGTTCTGCAATTGCTTGGTCAGGTAAACATTCTAAACACATTTTCAATTTATTTTGTGATATTTAATTTCTCCCATATTCTTTTAAATTATATTACAATATGCTTATTAACACTACTTTCCTTTCACGTAGCCAAAAAATTGTCCCAAAGTTGACTGAGGTACTTTGGACAAAAATACAATGTTAGCTTACATCTTTATTAGTTAATATAATCAAATTTATAATTTTAATTTTTTTATTGATTTTAGGTGCTAACTGATACGCATCCGCAAGTTCAGTCTGCATGGCAGACAACACTCCAGCAGGTTTGACTATATTCTTATAAGTTGTGACATTCACATTCCCAGAGTGATCTTGATAAAGTTGCTTCTAGTTCCATGCTAAGTTGGCTTTTATTTGTAATATAGGAGGTCCAAAATCTTGCAAAGAAGGCTGCAGAAACTGTGGTGTTGGTAATTGATGATGAAGGGACTGAGTATTTGATATCAGAACTTCTCAAGTTGCTTCTATTTCCATGCTAAGTTGGCTTTTATTTATCTTACTGTTTATTATCATTTTTTATATAAAACTTCATCATTTATATTATATATAATACATTATCGACTTTGCATCATAATTTATTGAATGTTACAGGATATAATTCAAAATTCAATTTCCTAATGTTGTTGCTGAAATGACAGCAATTGGTTTTGGCCTACCAAAGAATGCATTCACCGCTTTAATGAAGAATGTAAGTGTTTATTTTTCTTTTCTGTTTGGTGAAAATCATCAAATGACAATCTCATTATATATCTTAGGATCTTATCAGTTAATGAACTTGATCGTGGGTATGATCAAGCACAGGTTTACAATTCTACCCCTGCTTTTATCTTTTATCTTTTGTGTCATATAATTATATTTCCCCCTTTTTTTATCAGGTTAATTTGGTGGTTAATTATGATCTTCCTATAATACATGATCATCAATCTCAACCTGACCATGAAGTGTACTTGCATTGAATCAGGAGAGCAGGGTGATTATGGGAGATGTTAAGTAGTTATAGGGCTTTAGATGCTTTCCCTTTGGGTAGGAAATGTTTTTAAGACATGATCATCAATCTCTACCCCTGCTTTCCCTCTGGTGTTTATCTCCACATAAAAACCCTAAAATGTGGATGTGCTAAAACTGAAGAAACTAGAAGACACATACTGGATTTTAGCAAGTCGGGTAAGTTTAAAAATATATTAATACGATATTGATTAGATTACACAACATGTAGTGTAGAAAATATGATGAATATTTATGATCAATATTCAACTTTTGAAAATGTATCCAGTTTGATGTTTATCTGTTTGACATTTTTTTGACAGAAAATGAGAATACCGAAGAAGATGAACCACAAATTGACACTGAAATGATCAATGGAATTATCAAATCCCTTCTGGTATCATCTCATATCACTTGCTTATGAAATTTCTTCATCTATACTTGAAAATATATATTGATTCTTGTGTTGTTTCCAGGCTATCTCTAATGCAGTTCTCAGCACAACAATTATGATTTTATGATGTTAGGCTAAACTATAAAGCAATCATTCTTTGTTTTAGGAAACGTTTCAGAGCTTCTTCAGGCAGCTTAATGATGAGTTACTGAAACAAGAAGGTGCCCCTTTATAGCAATGTAGTATTAGGTTATATAGTTAGGGAAAACCTCTTAATAACAACGTACAATTAGATCTCCTTAATATCAATGTATTACAATTTTATGATATGATGTTATTGAATGAAATTGATTGTGTAATGGATTGTATTTTTTGTATATGGTATTTTATTTTCTATTATGAGACATGAAATGCAAATTTAATTTAAAAATTAGTAAATCTATAAATAATTTTAAAAAAATAAAAAATAAAAATTACGATACGCAAAAATGTGTGTCATCTTCATTTATGACATGGCCTTTCTTGACAACGGCTTTAATGATACGCATTGCGTGTTATAAATGCGCGTCATAAATGCGCGTCGTCTATAGACGACACGCAAAAGCGAGTCGTCTCTCGTTATGACAGGGCCTTCCTTGACGCGCATTTGCGCGTCGTCTGAGCGTTTTACGACGCGCAATGAGCGTCGTAAAAGGCGTTTTTTCTAGTAGTGAGCGTAAGCACAAAGCTTAGTGAGTTCCCCAAAATACCATATACCGTACATATTAGTAGGCCTAACCGAGGGATTTTTTAAACCATACGTAAATGTTATGATCCGACCATAGTCTTAAAACCGTTTCAAAACTATAGACATCTCTAGCCTTTATTCCATGATCCAACCATGGTCTTCCATAAAAGTCACAAAGATAAACAAGTGATGTGATCTCGCCATAGTCTTTCATACAATTATTACGATCCAACCACAGTCTTTCATACATATATTTTGATCCAAACACAACCTTTCATGCAAAAGTTAGAAACATAATATGGCAACCTACATAGTATAGTGAGAAAACTCACCTTACAGATGTAGTTAACAGTTAGTATCTCTCACAATCAATGAATCAAGTGATATACACCTCCTACTCCACCTTCTAAATCTAAGCGAATAACCAAAAGTCAACCAAGTCAAAAAGTCAACAATCAAAGTTAACTTCTGCGAGTCTCCACAACGTGGCCTCCTAATGGCTACGTCGTGGCAGAGTATGACAAAATAGCAGAGCATCCCCAACCCCCTCATCGTCGTGTCGTAGCGGCCAAAATGCCACATCATGGAATCTGGGTCTCAACATCTTAACGGATTAAGCTATTTTCCCTCTACACTAAGAGCTCCAAAGCTCAAATCTAGTCTTTTCCAAAGTGTTAATGGATAAAATTTTCCAACTTTATCAATTAAGTCATTGCAAGAAGTCAAGATCTCTACACCTAGGTCCTAAATGAGAACTTAAGGCATGAGCTTAACCAATAATCACTTAATCATCTAAGCTACAAGTCCATAACTTCTAGAAGGATTTCCTACACCTAAAAAATCATAAAAATCAATGCTTTATCAACATGCATGTTCAATGCATGTCTCTAACAAAATATGTCAAAACATGGAAGAAATGAAGTCAAACTTGTGCATGAGACCAAATACACCATATGAGTCTAGATCTAGAACATTTAACCCCAAAAGGATCACGAGAATCCATAACGTTTCAAGCATTATGGAGTCCTTTCCTCTAACTTTCCAAAACACAAAGAAAAGGGACAAAGAGCATGGATCTAGAAATATGCAACATAAAGCTTGGATCTTGAACACTTATGATGGTCCATAAATGTGCTAGTAGATGATGATGATGATGATGATGATGATGATGATGATGATGATGAGGCTTGCAAGATGAATCTTTGAGCTAAGGGCGCTTCCTTCTCCTTCAAGATGCTAAAAACACCACAAGATCTTCAAAAGCTCAACAATAGATGCTAGATTTGATTAGGGTTAGAAAGGAAGGTCTGGGAGGATGATGGTGTGCAAACCCTAGCTCATACTTTCCTTAAATATGGCCTAAAGCCCAGCCATAGTTAGGGGTTTGCCTTCATATAGTCGTCATGTAGTAGGCCATAATATAGAGTTGTGATTACATTGGCCATGCCACATCTTGGGGACACCTTTCCCACGTCGTAGCCATAAAACTCATAAATAAATTGTGAATTAATTATACCTAGAATTTCGGATGCTACAGTTATTCTCTTTAGTTCTTAACAAGTGTTTTCATTCTTTCAAGAAAAATCATTTGTCTTCCTTATTTCTCTAACTTCCTCTTTTTCTTTGTAAGATACCTCTAAATGTGTCAATAATCTCTTTAGCATAATTGCAATTTTCCACTATATGATAAACTTCATAGGGTAGAGCACTACATATAGCCACCTTTGCTCTTACTTCAAGATTGACCAAATTCTCATCTTCTTTAGTCCATTGAACTCAAGTTGCTCAAATGGTTCTTGGAGGTTAATTACATTTCAACCATGGTTTGCTTGTGCATGTTTGGATCGTCAACTAGTATTTCCATCATTTGATAATCCATAATTTACAGCACCATCGTTGGATTGTTGAGCCATGTAATTAAATTGTTTTCTTTGAACAAATGGAATATTTTTTATTGAATGGGAGCTGAGAAAGATGGATTTGAAGAAATGAAAGACGTCATTGACTGAATCATGAATAGATCTCTTTAGATTATTCTAAAGTCTATTCTAACATTACTTTTTGGTCTCATGGATTATGATTCAACCAACACAAATAATAAACTAACAAGAAATCCTCAACATTAAAGACAATGAATCGAAACTTATTTTGATTGAGAGCACTCTTATTAAATTCTTGCATGGAGAAAATTACAATGTTTGCATAGAGAAGACTTACAATAAATAAAACCCTAGCACAACTTATATACTAGGTCTAGCTCTAAAACCCGCATAAATCAATGACTCTTACATAAACAATGAAATTGAACCTTAAGAGTTAATCCTAATCACTAAGATATCATATTGACTCAACAAACATTCATAGGCCATCTATAACTTCATTCTTGATATAGCTAATGACATCAGCTCGACACACTCACTAGTCCATCGGTTGAATAATATTCGTGGATGGATGATGAAGTACATAACTCATCAAGTAATTTTATGAGAATGAAGTTATAAAATAATCAGTTCATTTGATTCTTTAAGAATGAAAAACTTAATATAAGGTACAAGGAAGAAACGTAGAGGAACTACAATGGGAAGAAAAAACAATTTTGGGAATTTACTTATCTACTAGTATTATTATAATGATAAGTGTTAGAGGATGTACCTAAGGCCACCTCCATGGCCAGATACTTTTATGAAAAAAATTAGTGGTAATTTACTTATTGTCGCTAATACCCTTGCATGGAAACACCCATGTCCTTGTTGTCATGTTTCCTAGCATGTCCCTTATTATTAGTATTTTTGCATTTTTATTTAGTTATTGTATTTATTTATCTTGTTGCAAACTAAAAGTTATTCATTTTAGTATGGTTACACCCATGTATCACATTTCCTAGTTTTTAGTTATTTGCATTGTTATTTACATAGATGTAATTGCTTTGTTTTGAATGGAGAAGAATTTGATGAAACTAATATCTCTTGTAACATCCCAAAATTTTAGGGTAAAAAATTTATTTTCAGTATAACTAAAACACTATTGTAACTTTGTTCACACATTGAAAAACAGTTTAAATAAAACATTTATCGAAGTTCATTCCCATAAATCACTTATTGTGGAAAAACATAGGTGTACGTGATACGATCGTCCCGAGCTCATTTATTTGAAAACTGGAGGTACTTGAAACCAAAAATGAAAACCGTAACCACGAAGCTTAGTGAGTTCCCAAATCCATATACCATACATATCAATTGATCCATACATGCCATACATAATCGCGAGCCATTCATATATCATAATAAATAAAGGTGATATGTGTCGCATATGCAGTTAAAATCGCGGATTTCCAGGTGATATCCAGGTGGGATATCGGTTATCGACACTTCTTAAAATATCGGTATCAAATATCGGCCCATAATATCGGAACCGCGAATACCATCGATAATTACCAATATTTTGATTCATAAATATTGGTTATATCACCGATTTTCCAGAAATTTTATTTTCGGGCCAAATTCTAGATAAGCCCAAAAACATTGATTTTTTTGGAGTTAATTTATGTGGATCCTTAGCATATTAGCCCATACACGGATACACAATTACACATACACCTAATTCCCTAAAGCTGTAAACCCAAACTTAAACCTAGAATAAGTCAATCTGATCGTCTTTCTCTGTTTTCTTTCAACCTCCTTCAAGGCAGCAACAACAATTTCGATTTGTTTGGAACGTGCGACGACTCTTGTTCCATTCTTATTCTTCATTGAATGCTACCCTTCTGCCATTAAGGAGCTACGGTGCTGCCGTTTAGCCTGTTCTTTGTCTACCGAGCCACCGAGGTACCTTTCTTCTTTACTCCATCCTATTTTTTAATTTAAATAAGTAAATTAAGTTAACTACTGAAGCTATGATGCTGCCCTCGTACTGTTATAATACTACCCTCGCACCTTTCTTCTTCATTTATTGTTTTACTCAAAGGTGTTGTTACATTAACTATTTTATTTTTTGCAATCAGTTAACTGCTAGTGTTAACTGTTAAGTCAATGCCTCGATGGAAAATGGTATTAAATCGTATCTGATAATGCATTAATGTTGTTTTCAATTTGGCATAATTTGTTAAATACTTAGTTTTAAAGTAGATACTAGTTAGTATCTACAAGTTTGATAATATTTTTGTGTTATTGATTCTGTTTTTGAAACATATTTGACAATGAATGATCCATCCTCACATGCATCTGTAAACCCAACAAACACAAACACTGATACAATATCATCTGATGTTGGAACTAGAACAAAATGTTTGAATGGAGATATGGCATGGGGATGGGGAGAGTGGAGGGATACCTTGAAAAAACAAAGCATTTGGTGCACATAAGTGGAGGAATCACACGAGTTAAGCAACATCTTACTCATACCGGAGGACAAGTCACCGGTTGTCCGAATGTGACTGTGGATATCCAGAAGAGAGTCATGGCATCAATGAAAAAAAAAGATAGGATAAATATAGAAAATAAAAGAAATATACAAATACTTAGATCAAGCACGGTTGATCTTTCGGATGAAGTTGAGGATGAAGAATTTGATGTTCAAGAAGTTAGTGTAAAACGAAATGTTTCAAAAAAGAAAAAATTTGTGGGTTCTAGCAATGTAACAGAGCCTATCGATACAATGTTTCCGATTAATCAAGAAAAAACAAAGCAAATTACATTGGATAAAAATAATCCAATAAAAGAAAAGTTAAAGATGAATGCTTAGGATAAAATTTCAACTTGGGTTTATTCGGTTCATTTACCCTTCAATGTCGTGCGTGACAAAAGTTTCCAAGATATGATCTATTCAATTGAAGAATACGGAAGAGGTATTTCAATGTGATTAAAGATTTATTCATTATTTGATTATTACTTACATAATTAAGTATATGAATTTATATTAGGTATGCCAGCTCCATCTTATCATAATATTCGCGTCACACTGATGAAAAAATGTTTAGAACATACTCGAAAGTTTGTGGATTCGTTCTGTTCACATTGTGAGGAATATCGGTGTAGCATTATGTCTAATTTTTGGACAGACGGGAAAGGAAGATGTTTGATAAACTTCTTAGTTAGTTGTCCTCTTGGAACAATATTTTTGAAATCAATTGATGCGTCAGAGCATGTGAAGAATGCTCAATTGATTGTGGAGATGATAAATGAGGTGATAAAAGATGTTGGAGATGAGAACATTGTACAGGTAGTTTTACTTTTCTAGTTTTCTAACTATTAATTGTTATTTAAACTTTTTGTTGATTTTACAAATTAAACTCTTTGTTTTTATTTATTAGTTCATTACAGACAACGGGTCAAACTTTAAAGCTGCCGGAAAGATTTTAGAAGAACAACATCCAAAGTTGTTTTGGACTCCTTGTGCAACACATTGTGTGAATCTCATGATAAGAGATATTGGTGAGAAAATACCAAAGATAAAGACAGCTCTGACTGATGCGAGAGCAATAGTGGTTTACATTTACAACCACGGGAGGATTCTTAATCTGATGAGCAAGTTGACAAAGAACAAGGAGTTGCACAGGTCTTGTGTAACTAGGTTTGCAACATAGTTTTATACTATTCAGAGTATCCAAGAGAATCAACATTATATTCAAGTATTGTTTGTTTCTGAAGAATGGAGGAAAAGTGACTTTGCAAAGAAGGCAGTTGGAAAGAAAGTCGAGCGAATAATGGCGAGAAAGGAATTTTAGGATAACATACACTTAGCTTGTTAAGTGCTAGCTCCTTTGGTAGATGTTGTCAGATTGGTTGATATAGAAGAGAATCCATGTATGACTTACATCTATAAATGCAATGGATAGAGCAAAGGAGCAAATCAAGAAAAATCTTACTGGGACGCCTAATGAAAGAATGATCACTAGAGTTTGAACTATGATTTAAACAACATGGACTGACCAACTTCATCATCCATTACATGCATGTATTAAACTGTATATTTATTAATTTAATAGAATTGCTTAGTTTTATTTATAAATCTTTATTGAATGTACAGTTGGATGTTACCTGAACCCTGCCATTTTTCATGGGGAAAATTCAAGGGAGATACGAAAGAACAGAGACATTGCGCATGACTTTATGTTGCAATTGATCGTCTAGTGCCTAATAATGATGACAATGATAAACTAAGGCAGGACTTGAACCTATACATTGATTCAATTGGGCAATTTGGATCTTTAGCTGCTTTAAGGGCTAGAACGAAAGTTGCACCATGTAAGTAAACTATTTTAAACACATTCACATGTTTTTATAGCCTTTTTTCTATTAAGTCACTTTATTTATTTAATATTTGTAAAATGTAGATATATGGTGGCGTACTTATGGGATCGACACACCTTTGCTCCAAACATTTTCTATCACAATCCTTAGTCAAACATGTAGTGCTTCACCTTGTGAACGCAATTGGAGTGCATTTGACAATGTACGTTCTTTCTAACAAGTGCTTTTATCAATAATATCACATTTAACCTATTTACTTCATTAAATAATTCTATTATTTTTTATATGCAGCTACATTAATCAAAGAAAAGAAATTTTCTTTTACAACAAAAGCTCAATGATCTGGTATTCATCTAATAACACAAGGATACAAAGACGCTTCAACTCGTTAAAAGCCAACAGATCTTTAGATCCTATTTTGATGAGAGACGTAGATGAAAATGATGATTAGGTTATACCAACAGAAGTTGAGCTTCAAGAGTTTGTTGATGGTAGAGATGGTCTTCTTTGGTCAGCTGTGTGAGAGCCAATGGGAGGAACCGAAGTAGTTGGGGTAACTACTAGGAGCAAAAGAGATCGCTATAGAGATGATGATGATGATATTCGAGTTGAAGTGGAAGATCTTGATGAACAATTGGATGCCTTATGTGTCAAATAATGACTCTTTTTGAGCATGCTAGTTGCTATTATATTTATATATGTTTTAAACATTAACACTTTTTGAACATGCTAGTTGCTATTATATTTATGTATGTTTTAAACATTAACACTTTTTGAACATGCTAGTTGCTATTATATTTATATATGTTTTACGTTAAATGGTTATAATATTCATAATTTTCATAATATTACAATATCGATATCCCACCGCAATAACCTATATATCAAATATCGGTCCTTGACCGATATTTGATTTTGGACCACTATAACTGCATAGTGTGTCGCACATAGTCTTGCCATTATGCCACAGGCCACCTCGTGGTCTTTCTTGCCAAGTCAGGGGTCACCCCCTGGGTCTTACACACAAGTGCCAAGAGCCACCTCCTTGTCTTCCATGCAACCATACATACTACTCTTCTTAGCAAATTAGCATACAGTATGCCTGGAGCCACCTTCTAGTCTTTCATACATAATGCTAGGAGCCACCTCCTGGTCTTTCATACATAATGCTTAGGGCTAACCATTGGATCTTCCCACACTACATAAACCAAATGGTTCGGCATTGGTGCCTTCAACCCATACAAAACAATGAGGAGACTCACCTCACACTGCTAAAGTCTTGTGGATAAAGTTGTGGTTGCTGGCTGATAGATCCCTAAACTGTCAACATCATAACAACACCCAATTAATAATTGGGTTCCAATACATAACCATAAGTCCATGTTTGGGGTAAAAAGACTACATTACCCCCAAACTAGCTTGATCCTAACCCAAGGCCCAACATATGGCCCAATTTTCCAAATTGGGCCCAAACCCCTTACATGGGCCTTACCCAAATACCCATCCATATATCCCATCCATACACCTATTCTCAGATGGCCCAACAAGAACCCGATCACCTAAGCCTAAAATGGAAGGCTTAACTCAAAGCCCAAACAAAATTAGGGGTTTCCATAAAATGACGATTAGGGTTAATTAAAAACGTGTAACCCATTAAGGACTTAATCCATTAAGTCCATCATTCTACTAGATCAATCATACAGTGTGGTTGGTCGTTATTCATAATTCAATTCCAATGGTCCAAAGTGCAGGTCCCCACAACTCCAAAACTAACATATCCAAAATTAGGGTTTCATGACATTAGGGTTTTCTAAACCCTAATTAGGGTTTACAACTCCTACGTTAGTTAATTAGTTAATCAAATAAATATATATGTGTTTATAAATCGGGCACCACCCACTGCCACCTTGGGTAGTGGTGGGTGGCGGTGGTCCATGGCGGCAGTAGGCGGCAGCCACCACCTCACGGTGGTGGTGGTCGGTTTTTCTTTTGTTTTTCTGACCAAGAACCAAACAGACTACCTTACACCATAAAAACTTACACTCACACACCATATCACACACACAGCCACCACTCACGGTGGCTGGTGGTGGCAGAAAGAGCAAAATGAGTGGTAACCACCATGGGTGGCTGCCATGGTGGTCCTAAAAAATCTTCGGCCAACCCAAAAAAACACACACATCCACTACACGAATTGTAGCAACAACACACACACAAAATACAAGCCCTGAGACTAAACTACCCACATGAACTCAGCCACTCTTGCGGAGGCAGGTGGTAACCGGAGGACAAAGAAAAAGGCAGCTGCTCGGAATGGTGGTGATGACGAAATGTGGTGTGGCACAAAAGAGTGAAGAAAGTGAGACGGAAGGCTCACACAATCAGGCATAACCTAAACAGGCCATCCAACCACTGGCTTGTAAGTTCTAGCATGCAAATCTTCAAGCTCATATAAGCATACAAAGGCATCTCTCCTTGATCCTTAACTATAATCTAGCATGCGAATCATAGAATCATATCATATCACATAACAAAGATGTATTGGTATTTTGGGAACAAATTACTTGAGCTCGGTCGATTACATGCATCACACCCCTTTCATTGCTTAGAAATTCTTTTGTAATTATATATTTATTTTTAAAAAATGAATTAAGCCCTCGGTTTGAGTTCAAGCATACCCAAGAGTATGTATGGATTCCTCAAACCAAGGCTTTGATACCAACTTGTAACATCCCAAATTTTTAGGGTAAAATATTTATTCTTAATATAGATAAAACACTATTCTAACTTTGTTCACACATTGAAAAGCATTTTAAATAAAACATTTATCAGAGTTCATTCCCAGAAATCACATATTGCGGAAAAACATAGGTGCCTGCACTACAATCGTCCCGAGCTCCTTTATTTGAAGACTGGAGGTACCTGAAACTAAAACTAAAAATCGTAAGCATGAAGCTTAGTGAGTTCCCCAAATACCATACCATACATATCAACTGATCCATACATGCCATACATAATCATGAGCCATACATATATCATAATCAACAAAGGTGCTATATGCCCCATATAGTGTTCCCATTATGCCACGGGCCGCCTTGTGGTCCTTCTTACCAAGCTGGGGACTACCTTTGGGTCTTACAGACAAGTGCCAAGAGCCATTTCCTGGTCTTCCATGTAAGCATCACGAAGACAACTAGCATACACATTTCTCTACTTAGCTAAGTAGCATACAGTGTGCTAGGAGCCACCTCCTGGTCTTTCATACAAAATGTCAGTAACCACCTCCTAGTCTTTCATACATAATGCCTAGGGCTAACCCATGGATCTTCTTACAATACATAAACCAAGTGGGCCACCATTGGTACCTTCGACCCATACAAATAATGAGGAGACACACCTCACACTGCTGAAGTCCCACAGAAAAAGTTGTGGCTGCTAGCTGACAGATCCCAAAACTATCAACATCAAAACAACACCCAATTAATAATTAGTTTCCAATATAAAACCATAAGTCCATGTTTCGGGTAAAAATACTACTTTACCTCCAACCTAGCTTTATCCCAGCCCAAGGCCCGACATATGGCCTAATTTTCCAAACTAGGCTTAAACCACTTACATGCGCCTTACCCTAAAGCCCATCCACATTTCCCATCCATACACCTGTTCTCAGATGGCCCAACAAGAACCCAAACATCTAAGCCCAAAAAGGAAGGCCCAACTCAAAGCCCAAAAAAAATTAGGGTTTTCACATAAAATAGCGATTAGGGTTAACTAAAAATACTTAACCCATTAAG